ATCTTCAAATGAAAGCAGACCCAGAAAGGAAAAACTGAATAATACACCATCCTTTAATGTTTGCCCAAAATTTCCAATACTAGAAACCCCACTGCAAAGCTGAAAGACTATTTGGTAGCTTCAAGGAAGCATTTCAGGAGATTGTTGTGTGGGCCTCAACATTCAATTAGAAGATCGTGCAATCCTCTTACTCTTCTTGCCCCAATACCAGGGTTGATAAGCCACTGAACCAACCAGAGGGGAATTATTTTTGGTCCCGGTTTAAAGAAAACAAAACAAGCTGTTGATTCTGCCATGACCTCTTGGGTAGTGTTGTCTCTAACCTGTAATAAACAGGAAACAACTAATAAAGGTGTATCCCCCTTAAACCAGCATCTTAGATGTGGCTGAAACTCACATCCAGGAGAGGCTTTCACGTGACCCGTTTTAAACGCGTCATAGGGACACGTGGTTCTAGATACTTCTCCCCCTCCCCCTCAGGGGTGGATTGTTGACAAGGCCACGGTCAGTCACGTGATCTTACGTCATCCCACCTCCTTTCCCTGAAATCTCTGGCCCGGATGAGTTCCCCGCTCTCCACCCCGCCGAGCCTAAACTAATGACGGGGAGGGAGACAGGATAGTGTTTTGGTTCCGTGGTCTCTGAATCCACAACCTCTAGTGTGAGCACAGAGTACACAAACTTGTCGATCATTTCAGGAAGCCCAGGCTGAACCCAGCCCCGCAGAAGGGATCGGGGAACGCGCGCTCCCGCGTCCCGCCCCCTCCTCCCCCAGCGCTCTTCTGTGGTAGCGGCGGAGGGCGGAGGGATCCGGAGGCGGCGGAGGGAGACGTCATTGCAGGGTTGTTTGTCAGTCTCGGCGGCGGCGGCGGCGGCGGCGGCGGCGGCGGCTACCCACCGTGATTTGGCCGCCGCGCCGGGGGGTGGGGGGGCTGCGCGGGACTCTTTTCTTTCAGACTGACCGCGGGGCAGCTGGGGAGCATGTCGACCCCGGCCCGGAGGAGGCTCATGCGGGATTTCAAGCGGTAAGGGCCTTCACCTCCGCCTAGATGACGGCCCCTCAAAGCTGCGGGGCTGCAGGGTGGGGATCCCGGACACCTTTCCCTTGTGACCCTCCGAGGGCCGGCTGTGGGCCCAGAGGAACTGGCGGAAGCCGGGTCCTAGCCTCGGCTTCCACTCCCTTATTCTTGCCTCTCGCTGTGGCGGCCGAATAAATTTCGATACTCCTTCTCCCCCCAAAAAGTAAAACGGTGTCGATCGACTGGCCTAGGGTTCCCTGCTGCCCATTTCGGCCAGCTGCCCGGCGATCAGACTTCCTCCACCCGCTCCTGCACCCTGCGGCGCCCTTCTTGTCCTCTCAAAGTGAGCTCCTGCGGGAGCTTGTTCCTCGCCGGCTGCACCGGTCAGCTTTGTTTCACCGCCCCGCCGTCTTCTCCGAGGAGCCGGGTTGGGGCGAACCATCACCCCCCCCACGCCCCAGTCCTTTCCATTTCTACCGTGAGGGTGGGGTCCAGTGCGTGAGGCCCGGAGCTTAACCCATCCCCCGAAACCCGACTCTGTCCCCGCCCGCCTGAAAGGACCTTGGGAACTGACTTAGAGATCTAGGACCTCAGAGCTGGCCACCCCGGCTGCCAGTGCCCTCTGGAACTCACCTCTGGCTGGTGAAGAAAGCCCTATCTATAGCCTCCCGAGTCTGGAAAAATGCCTTCCCCTGGACTGGCGCTAATTTGATACTCCCTGGGCCTCCTTTGGTAAATAAATAAGGTTTTGTTAGGAGGTATTGGGGTTGTGAGGAAGAAAATGATTAGTTCGTTGTTTACCTTTAATTGGATACTTAGAGACATAGAAAACATAAGTGAGAAAACAGCATTTTGATACTCTGCACATTTTTCTTAAATTTTTTTTCTGGGGATACCTGCCCTAATTGAGACAAAATAACTGGCCTAAAAACTTAGATTTGTCGCTCAGGAAGTCGCCTCTCAACTCAGCCATTATAAAGCCTATGTGAAGCATTTGGAAGCCATCCATTGTTTTGGGCTTTGGCCAACTTATTTAATTCATTGGTAGCTTCTCTTAGCCATTTAAAGGTAGGCGTCAAGCAGTGCAGTTCTTGTGAGGCTTCTGTTCGTGATGGCCTAATTTGCTTGAAATTGACTAAAAGCCATTTTTTTTAATGTGAACTAGTTGCAAAGTGTGATGCCCCATGAAAACGACTGCATATGTATTTGTGTGTATAATGAGCGTTTTTAATTGCGGCTACAGTCTCTGAAAGGAGATGCCCTTTTTGGTGCAAAAGTCATCTTTCTAAAGCTTGAAATCAGTGTATTTGCTCGGCACTCGTTACTAAAATTCAAATAGTAATTTAGTTCATGTCATTGTCGCCTTGGTTTCTTACTGTAATGCTCTGCTTAATTCTGAGTTGAATATATGACACCTTTTGAAGTTTTCCAAAGGTCTGCAGTTTACAAGAATTTGACTGAGGAATGTTGGAAAGCCTTGTATTGAGTCTCCTGATCTGAGAGGTAGATTTGGTGTTAATGCAGAGCCTTAAAATAGGGACTGGCGGAAAACCTACTGATTACTTTTTAAAGCCATTGCTGTTTGAAGCAAAAGGGATAAAGTAAATCTGCCTAATACTAGTTTCGTAATTAATGTGTTTTCAGTCATTTAGCGTTTACACTGAGGTTTGTTTTTTTTTTAGCCATTTTGCAGAAGTACCTGTGGTTAAGACACACAGTCTTTGGATGTTTAGAGCTGCAAAATCGATAGTTCTGTAAAAATATTATTTGCTTTTGAGGTTTTAAACTTTTTTTGGTTTAAGAGGACAGTCTGTATGCATCAATTCTTGAAGAGATAATAATTTTGATAATATTGAAAGAGGGATGATTCTCAAGCCTTTTACATTTTTAGATAATTTGGAGAGGTATTTAATGTGTATATACCTGGTTAATATATTTAAGTCATAGGGTTCATTTTAGTTTACAATAATAAGGAAATGGAATCAGTCTCTGTGTCACAATAGATGGTATAGTGTCTGTAGGTGTTTATGTGGCCTCCTTAGTGGCCTTAATGTTCAACTTTTTAAATTATCACTCTGGATTTCTAGGTTACAAGAGGACCCACCTGTGGGTGTCAGTGGTGCACCATCTGAAAACAACATCATGCAGTGGAATGCAGTTATATTTGGGTGAGTTGAAAGGTTTATAATAGGTGTGTGTTGAATCTTTAAGTGAATATATGACAACTGTCTAGGAAAAGAAACTGGGGTGGAATGAGAGATCTTAAGGACTAAAACCACAAGATAAATTAGAAAAAAAAATTTTTATTTAGAATTTTAGCTCATGCCCAGGAGGATCGCTTGAACCCAGGAGTTCATCACCAGCCTGAGCAATGTAATGAGACAGTGAGTCTGTCTCTCCCCGCCCCCCAAAAAAGGAGTTTTGGCCCAGCCTGGGCAACATAGTGAGACCTCATCTCTACAAAAAGTGTAAAACTAGCTGGGCATAGTGGTGCACACCTGTGGTCCCAGCTACTTGGAAGGCTGAGGCAGGAGAATCACTTGAGCCCAGGAGTTTGAGTGCCATGATTATGCCACTGCACTCCAGCCTGGGCAGCAGAGCCAAGACCCTGTGTCTCAAAAAAAAAAAAAAAGGAAAAAAATTTCAGCAGTTATATAAAATTTATTTGCTCTTTTATTACATAGGGTTTTATAATCACTTCAGGTTTTACTTTTAAAATACTATTCAAAACTAAATGGAATAGAATAATAAAGGAGAAAAGATAAATTATTTTGTATAAAATATACCATGCAAATGCTCTCATTCTATTGGAGCTATTACAAGATTTGGAACCAAAAATATTAAGAACTTCTACCGTGGCAAGTATTTAAGCGAAAATGATTCACAACCCAGTGTGAAATAGCAGAATGCAGCCATTTGAGAAGGAGTCCTAAATTTTACCTACTATATATGCTGCATATATGCTTTTTAATTTAAATTTTCCTTATGCTTTTTCTTTGGTTTTTCTGGACTTGATCTGTTTTTTCTTTCATTCCTTTGAAACTCGAGATATGCATTAAAAAGTAAAAGGAATATGTTTTTTTTGTTTGTTTGTTTTTTTTTTTTTTTTGAGATGGAGTTTCGCTCTTGTTACCCAGGCTGGAGTGCAATGGCGCGATCTCGGCTCACCGCAACCTCCGCCTCCTGGGTTCAGGCAATTCTCCTGCCTCAGCCTCCTGAGTANGATTACAGGCACATGCCACCATGCCCAGCTAATTTTTTGTATTTTTAGTAGAGACGGGGTTTCACCATGTTGACCAGGATGGTCTCGATATCTTGACCTTGTGATCCACCCGCCTCGGCCTCCCAAAGTGCTGGGATTACATGCTTGAGCCACCGCGCCCGGCCAGGAATATGTTGATAAACAGAATTCTGATACTACAGATCAGCTACAAGAGTCTACATTTAAAGACTGGTGGAAAATGAGTGAGGTTCACCCTCATAAAGCACTTCTGTTATATTCAGGCTATTATCTGGCTATTTTGAGATCCTGAATATGCCTTGCAAGTAATAATTAAACTTTATGCTGCTGCTTAGGAAATATGAAATTGGGATGTGGGGGCAAGGATCTGAGCAAGAGAATCTGGCTTTTTGGTGACAGCAACTATGCTTAGCCTATTTGAACAAGCGTTATGCATCTGTTGGAAAGCAGGACACTTGGGTTTAGCATCATAACTAAAGAGTATTGCTTTCCATCTTATTGCTGTAAAATGAAAAGATGACTTTTTCTCTTAAGAATATTCATATGTGGCCAGGCATGGTGGCTCACACCTGAAATCCCAGCACTTTGGGAGGCTGAGGCGTGTGGATCACCTGAGGTCAGAGTTCAAGACCAGACAGACCAACATAGTGAAACCCTGTCTCTACTAAAAATACAAAAATTAACCAGGTGTGGTGGCGCATGCCTATAATCCCAGCTACTCGGGAGGCTGAGACAGGAGAATCCCTTGAACCCAGGATGAGCAGGTTGCAGTGAGCCGAGATCACGCCATTGCACTCCAGCCTGGGCAACAAGAGTGAAACTCCTTCTCAGGGGAAAAAAAAAAAAACAACCAACAACAAACAAAAAATATACATGTGTACAAAATGACTGGTCAGTATTAATGAACTGGAAGTTTTTTGTGCTAAAATTATGGGCAAGTTTTTTTGTTTGGTGTGGTGAAACCACCCTAAAAAGAAAGCTTAGAATGAAAGTTGTACTTTATGCCTGTGTTTACGAAAATCCAGGGCTAAGGTGTTATTAAGCTGTATCTTAAAACTACACAAATCATCAGAATTGGTCCCTCTTTTTCTGCTGGAATTTATCATTTCCACTTTTGAAAGTCAGTAAAAAGCAGAATGAGAAACTTCTTTTAATCAGAAATCTTCTTGTTTTCAGACCAGAAGGGACACCCTTTGAAGATGGTAAGTGATACTCATTATGTTTTCTGTAGTGTTATGAGGTTGCTTTTTAGTAGAAAATTGTAACACCAACATATCTACTTGAAGCCGTTTTCTAAGGTTAATAGGCCAAGTTAAAATTTAGTAAAGCTGTGGAGAATTTATACTTTATAAAGGACTTTTTTTCCCACATCAGCTTGGTCACATCCATTGGTAAAGTAACCAATATTAAAGGTTACTTTAAGGCCAGGCATGGTGGCTCACACCTGTAATCCCAGCACTTGGGGAGGCCAAGGCGGGCAGATCACAAGGTCAGGAGATTAAGACCATCTTGCCCAACATGGTGAAACCCCATCTCTACTAAAATACAAAAAAAATTAGTTGGGCATGGTGATGTGCACCTGTGGTCCCAGCTACTCAGAAGGTTGAGGCAGGGGAATCACTTGAACCCAGGAGGCAGAGATTGCAGTGAGCTGAGATCGGGCCACTGCACTCCAGGCTGGTGACAGAGTGAAACTCCGTCTCAAAAAAAAAAAAAGGGTTACTTTAATATTTTCCTGTAGAACTATAAGCCTAGATGGCAGTGTCTATGTTGAGAATAGTTTAAATTTAGTTGGCTTTAATAACGATATCTCTAAGGTGAACCTCAGAAGAGTAAATCATGCTTTTTACTTTGTTATCTTTGATATTTGATACGGTGTTGAGCTGAAATTTTTCTTAAAACATACATAGCTGCCAGTAGCTTCAAGTACTTACTAGCATTTAACACCCAGAAGTAGTTACCATTTCGCATAATCTTATACATCTCAAGTTGGGTATTTATATCAGAAGCTAGGAAAATGGGAAACTAGTTCTAATAATGTGTTTATAATTGAGCTTATCCAATTGATTTTAACCAGGTACTTAGATTTTTCCTAATTACAGTGTTGGATTTTAAGAAATTATCAAACAGCTTTGTTATTAACAAAATGACTTCAGAATTAATCCATCAAAAGTATTTATCCAAGAATACTGACTGCAGCACTTGTTCATAAGGACGTAACCTGAATGTCCAGTGGGAGAAATGGTTAAGCAAATTATAATGTATCTGGACTCTGGAATATGTACCTGTTAAAGAATAAGGTTGATTTAGACAAATGTCTTAAGGGGACAAAAAAACTGAACGATAATGTTTGTTGTAGCATCACATTTTCAGTAAATACATACATACATGTGTGTCTGTGTTAAAGGGTTATATACCAAACTGTTATCAGTGATTATCTGTAGGTGGGGGAAAGGAGTTGAAGGAGGAGGTACTTAAGGACTTCACCTTTTTTCTCTACATCAAGGATTCTCAAGTGTGTGTTCCATAAACCCCTTGGGGTCTCAGAGATCCTGCAGTCAAATCTCATCATACTAAGAATGTTGACATTTGCACTGATGGTACAAAACCAATGGTGGCTAAAAACTACACCTAAGCAGTTTCCTGTCTTAGAACAAATCACGGCATTAGACAGTGGCACAAAACCATACTAACAGTTATTGTATTTGCATTTTAAAAGATGCCGGTTGGCTAGGCACAGTGGCTCACACCTGTATAGCCAGCACTTTGGGAGACTGAGGCAGATGGATCACTTGAGCCCAGAAGTTGAGACCAGCCTAGGGCAACCCATCTCTACAAAAAATTAGCCAGGAATGGTGGTACATGCCTTTAGTCCCAGTTACTTGGGAGGATGACCTGAGCCCAAGAGGTCAAGGCTGCAGTAAAGCCCTGATGGAGCCACTGCACTCCAGCCTGGGCGACAGAGTGAGACCCTGTCTCAAAAAAGAAACTGCCAATTTTTCTTAATTTTGAGGCATTTTTATTAGTAGTATGAAGCTCTGGACCCTTGAGTATCTGTCTTTTTGTTTGTTTGTTTGAGATGGAGTCTCACTCTCTCACCCAGGCTGGAGTGCAGTGGCTCGATCTTGGCTCACTGAAACCTCTGCCTCCCAGGTTGAAGTGATTCTCATGCCTCAGCCTTCCAAGTAGCTGGGATTACAGACATTTGCCACCATGCCCAGCTAATTTTTGTATTTTTGGTAGAGACGGGGTTTTACCATGTTGGCCAGGCTGGAGTCTTGAACTCCCAACCTCAGGTGATCTGCCAACCTCAGCCTCCCAAAGTGCCGAGATTACAGGCATGAGCCACCACGCCCGGCCGAGTATCTATCTTTTAATATTCTGTATGATGAAGTGAGATGTATGAACAAAGCACTTCTGCATGTCATAGTATGATAGTTGTCTGGAAGAAAAGCGCTTGTGCAGTTGTTTGAGTTGCAATTTGAACTACTTTTTTCATGGAACATTTTTATTTGAAAGAATGACAGACAAGCTGTGGTTATTTATGTTTGAATGTATGGCAGACATATTCTCAGAAGTGATGTAATAAGCTGGGCATGGTGCCGCACACCTATAATCCCAGCTACTCAGGAGCCTGAGGTGGGAGGATCACTTGAGCCCAGGAATTTGAGGCTGCAGTACACTATGATTGTGCCACTGCACTACAGCCTGGGCAACAGAGCAAGACTCTGTCTCAATTAAAAAAAAAAAAAAAGTGTGGCCAGGTGCAGTGGCTCATGCCTATAATCCCAGCACTTTGGGAGACTGAGGTGGGTGGATCACCTGAGGTCAGGAGTTCGAGACCAGCCTGTCCAACATGGTGAAACCCCGTCTCTATTAAAAAATACAAAAATTAGCCAGACATGGTGGCGGGCGCCTGTAATCCCAGCTACTCGGGAGGCCGCCATTGAACTCCAATGGATGACAGAGCAAGACTCTGTCTCAAAAAAAGAAAATACTCCTTTTTTCAATTACGTATTTGTGTGAGCCTGGATTTTCTTCTTGTACTTAAACCAAACGATATTATAACAGATTGAGTGCAGAAGCAGATAAAAGAATCCAGCTGTCTTCTGTTAAACCAGTCATTAAAGAGAGAGTTGCAAAAATGTAAAACAATGCTTACACTTATCACTAACATGGGGAGAAATATAATTTTCATTTATATTATGTGTAATGGGTTTGCAGTTTAACCTAACATGTTGGGTTAATGTGTAAGGAGTTTGCAGTTGTTTTGCTTGTTTTTGTTTTTGAGACAGTCGCACTCTTGTTGCCCAGGCTGGAGTGCCATGGCGCGATCTCGGCTCACTGCAACCTCCGCCACCCGGGTTCAAGCCATTCTCCTGCCTCAGCCTCCCGAGTAGCTGGTATCACAGGCACGTGCCATCATGCCTGGCTAATTTTTGTACTTTTAGTAGAGATAGGGTTTCATCATGTTGGCCAGGCTAGTCTCGAACTTCTGACCTCAGGTGATCCACCTACCTCAGCCTCCCAAAGTGCCGGGATTACAGGTGTGAGCCACCGCACCCAGCTGTAGTTATTTTTAATGAAGATTTTCTAAGTTTATTATTTCTTTTCTTATTGAGATGGAGACTTACTTTGTCACCCACGCTATAGTACAGCGGCATCCTCTGGGCTCACTGTAACCTCCACGTCCTGGGTTCAATGGATTCTCCTGCCTCAGCCACCCGAGTAACTGGGATTACAGGCGTGCTTCACCACGCCCTACTAATTTTTGTATCTTTGGTAGAGATGGGTTTCACCATGTTGGCCAGGCTGATCTTACACTCCTGACCTCAAAGTGATCCGCCTGCCTCAGCCTCACAAAGTGCTGGGATTATAGGCGTGAGCCGTCGCGCCCACCCCGAGTTACAATTTCTAATAGAACAAATATCAAAAAGTATATCCTGTGGTGTGCTGGAGGCAGCCTATACTGATTCATGAGAGCTGGTTGTTAACGTTATTTTTGCAAGCTGGTTATTAAAAAGGCATTCTTTTAAAATAATATAAAAACTCAGTTTTCAAAAATTAGAAAGTGATAAATACACAAGCCTCATCACCTTCTAATTATTTTAGCATATTGTGCTACTTTGGTGCTCTTAAGGGTATTACTGATTTTGTATCTCTATAATAGAAATACTATAAAATGGTATGCTATTGCATGCATCTCTTCCCAGCTTCATGTTCAGTTAGTTCACATTGGAGTGTGGTCCTGGTAGGACTAAGAGGGTAAAGAGGTCCTTCAATCAAAAAGTTTAAGGATAGCTATGCCTCATATGTGGTTTTGCCTGAAATTTTACACTGTACAGCTGTTATTTTTGTAATTAAAATAAAAACTTAAAAAATATATAATTAGGCTTAGGGCTAACTTCATAGAATGTTTCAGAGTTTCTCTATTCTGTTAATATGTGCCAAAATACAAAATAGAAATCACTTTAGGTTGCTTGTATTTTTGGCCTTTCCAGTCTCAAATTTCCAAACAACTTTTAAGTATGGAGTTGAAGGTTGTATGACAAAGATAGGACCATGATAATATAATATAAAATATTTACCTAGCTGTGAGCTATAATCTTAATAGACTAAAGCCAGGAGCTTATAATTTAGGCCAAGAAAGACTGTTTTGTTTTTAACTGTGTATTGATGAAATAAGGAAAGAACCTAGTAGAGATACCTGGACTGGTTTAAAGTTTTATTGACTTCATTAGGATTAAGTCCCAGCTTCCTGAATATGTTCAAGGGTTGTAGTTAGAGGACTTCCTTTAAAGAAATGGTGTCTGGGCCGGGCGCGGTGGCTCAAGCCTATAATCCCAGCACTTTGGGAGGCCGAGGCGGGTGGATCACGAGGTCAAGAGATCGAGACCATCCTGGTCAACATGGTGAAACCCCGTCTCTACTTAAAAAAAAAAAAAAAATACAAAAAAAAAAGAAATGGTGTCTAGATAGTTAAGTAAGCCCAAAAGAAGTCTATAAAGACAAACTATTAATAGTGGCTAAATGCTGATTTAGACTGACCAACATGTACCTTGTTGGCGTATAACCAAAAGTAGGTAATGACACTAAAGCTTTAATGATTCTTGGCATATTCAAATGGAGTGATTGGTGTGGGGATAGAATCAGTCTATCACATAAGTACCTCCAGTATGAGTCTTCTTTTGCCGTGTGGTAGTCAGCCCCTCTCAAAATCCTTTGACCGTCCTCCGTTCCAAACTATGATAAACTATTTGTAGTTCTTCAAATATGCATTTTAAATCTTGGTAGCTAGGGCACAGTTGCCTTCCAAAAATGTGACAGTTAACACTCCCACCAATAGCAACATGAATGTGCTCGTCCCCAACTGCTTGCCAATGCTGCGTGTTATCACTTTAACATAAATAGAGTATATTTAGCATGTTTTGTGTGCCGAACCAAAGTTGACATACTAACTTATATGTGGTTGTGCAAAAACCAGTATGCAGTTGAGAACTGATTGATGAGATAAAGTTCTGCTTTTCTTTACTATCATTATTTTGTTTTCTCTCTAGGTACTTTTAAACTAGTAATAGAATTTTCTGAAGAATATCCAAATAAACCACCAACTGTTAGGTTTTTATCCAAAATGTTTCATCCAAATGGTAAGTAGCATTTTTTAGATTTTGCAGATCATAGTGGGGGAAATAATTTTGCTTACCTCCTTTTAGCTCTTGCCCCTTACTTTTCACTAGTAGGGCTCACTCGTAGGTGTTGCTTCTGTGTCCCTGTTAGCTATGTTTTTGTTGTGGATTTTTGGTCTGTTTCTTGTTTCTTCAGAGACAGGGTTACACTCTGTCATCCCTGATGGAGTGCAGTGGTGTGATCACAGCTGTTACTCAAACTCCTGGGTTCAAGTAATCCTCCTGCCGTAGACTCCTAAGTAGCTAGGATGACAGGCGTGGACCACCATTACCAGATAATTTTTTTTTCTTTTTCTGTTTTGTAGACAAAGTCTGTGTGCTGCCCAGGCTGGTCCTTGAACTCCTAGCCTCAAGCAGTCCTCCCACTTTGGTCTCTCAAAGCACTGGGATTTCAGGAATGGGCCACCTTTTCTAGCCTTTGTTTCTGTAGTAGAATCTTATGAAGCTTTCAAATTTGACGTCAAGTTGTTTTAATAACTCGTGAATTAAAAGTAATATGTGGTTGGGCATGGAGACTCATACCTGTAATCTCAGCACTTTGGGAGGCCAAGGTGGGCAGATCACCTGAGGTCAGGAATTTGAGACCAGCCTGGCCAACATGGTGAAACTCCATCTCTACTACAGATACAAAAATTAGCCAGGTGTGGTGATGGGCACCTTTAATCTCAATTACCCAGGAGGCTTGAAGCAGGAGAATCACTTGAGGCGGAGGTTGCATTGAGCTGAGATCACAACACTGCACTTCAGCCTGAGTGACAAAGCAAGAGCCTGTCTCAAAAAGAAAAAAAAAAGGTAATATGTAAGCCAGGCACAGTGGTCAGTCCCAGCTACTCTGGAGGCTAAGGCAGGAGGGTGGCTTCAGGCTAGGAGTTGGAGGCCAGCCTAGGTAACAAAGCAAGATTCTGTTGCCACTAAAATAAATAAAAGTATTACCTATTTATTTGTAGAACTGTGAAAAATAACAACAAAAAAATCTGTTGACTGCAATTTAGCTTTTCAAAAATATAATTTTGGCCAGGCATGGTGGCTCATACCTATAATCCCAGCACTTTTGGAGGCCAAGGTGGGAGGGTTGCTTTAGCCCAGGAGTTAGAGACCAGCCTGGGCAACACAGTGAGATCCCATCCCTATAAAAATTTTTAAAAATAACAGGGCACGGTAGCATACACCTGTAGTCTCAGCTCCTCTTGGAGGCCGAAGTGAGAGGATCACTTCAGTCCAGGAGGTCAAGGCCACAGTAAGCCATGACTGTGCCACTGCACTCTAGCCTGGGCAACAGAGCAAGATCCTACCTCAAAAAAAAAGTACAGTTTTGCTTATACAAAATTGGAGTCAGTGGCCACGCACAGTGGCTCATGCCTATAATTCCAGCAATTTGGGAGACTGAGGTGGGTGAATTGCTTGATCCTAGGAGTTCTAGACTAGCTTAGGCAACATAGTAAAACCCCATCCCTACAAAACAAATGCAAAAATTAGTTGGGCACAGTGGTGCATACCTGTATTCTCAGCTACTACGGAGGCTGAGGTGGGAGAATTGCTAGAGCCTGGAAGGTTGAGGCTGTAGTGAGCCATGATTGCACCACTGCACTCCTGCCTGAGTGACAAAGCAAGACCCTGTCTCAAAA